TCCCAGTCTGTCAGTAACGCTCGGTTTACTTCCTGTCTCTATGAAGCCCCTCCTCCTGAAAAGCACACTGTGCTCTGATTGGTCGGCTGGAGCAGTGTGTTGTGATTGGTCAAGCGCTTTGAGTGTGTATGGAAAATGTCCCGCCCCTTTCCATAACCGTCAGTTTAACACACTACTGACTAACTCAACCAGGCCCCACCCCTTTATTCTGTGCATTAATTATTATAATGAGGAATATTGTGACGTGTTCGTTCCTGGGAGAAACTGGAGCTTCAACATCACACACTAAACACAGATGAAGATGAGGAAAACACAATAGATCCTCTTAAAGCTGTTGCAATGGTAACACTGGGATTGTTTGTATGTCCGTCACGTTCTGCATCGATTACAGTCAACAGAACTTACGGCTTAATCGTCACAGATGAATGTTTTGTCATTTTTGCCTTTATTAGAGACATGACGGGACAGGATTGAAGAAGTCGAGTGTGTTGAAGAGTCATCAGCTCTGCAAGAAATCTTCATCAATCTTAAATATTAATCATTGCAAAGTTGAAATATGGCGTTTGTTCGTGACATTCCCTCCGAGTCGAGAGCTGGATAACGTCAGGCACAAATACACTGACACACAAACACACGCTGCTTCTCTCGTGGTTTGATGATGCGTGCGTGTGTGTGTGTGTGTGTGTGTGAGATGAAGATGATCGGAGCCTCGTGAGATGATGCAACGCAGTTCTGTTTGTTCCTCCCGATGGGAAAAGCAAGGAATCCCACAGACAGTCTTCAGTTTCAGCAGCAGACGTTCAGAACCAAGGCATCACAGAACGGCATTCTGGGACATGCGTTCCACACACACACACACACACACACACACACATGCCTGCGCATGGACGGACACGTGTCGCCTCACCTCAGATTTCTCCATCTTGGTTTGCGCCTCCGCCTGCGTGATGATCTCGCTCATGTTGGTCTCCAGCACCATCCCGCCCATCACCATCTCCGCCAGGATGTTGTGAACCTGCAGGAAAGCCCAGTCTCCATCATCGACACAACACACACCTCCCACCAACACACACCTCCCACCAACACACACCTCCCACCTCCCTAACCCTAACCCTCCCCGCAGGAGATTACAGTCACAGGGAGGGTTCAAAGAGGACATATTTACAAATTCATCGAAATGTGGGCAGAGTCTGGGTGTGGGCGGAGTCAGGGGATGTGGGAGGAGTCTGGATGTGGGCAGTTTCAGGAGTGTGGGAGGAGTCAGATGTTTGCGGAGTCGGGGGGATGTGGGCGGAGTCTGTATGTGGGCGGAGTCAGGGGATGTGGGAGGAGTCTGGATGTGGGCAGTTTCAGGAGTGTGGGAGGAGTCAGATGTTTGCGGAGTCGGGGGGATGTGGGCGGAGTCTGTATGTGGGCGGAGTCAGGGGATGTGGGAGGAGTCCGGATGTGGGCAGAGTCAGGAGTGCGGGAGGAGTCGGATGTTTGCGGAGTCGGGGATGTGGGCGGAGTCAGTGGATGTGGGCGCAGTCAGGGGATGTGGGAGGAGTCGGATGTTTCCGAAGTCGGGGGATGTGGGCAGAGTCGGGATGTTCGCGGCGTCAGGAGTGTGGGCGGAGTCAAGGGATGTAGGAGGAGTCTGGATGTGAGCGGAGTCAGGGGATGTGGGAGGAGTCAGGAGTGTGGGAGAAGTCGGATCTTTGCAGGGTCAGGAGTGTGGGCGGAGTCAAGGGATGTAGGAGGAGTCTGAATATGAGCGGAGTAGAGATGTGGGGAGATTCAGGAGTGTCGGTGGAGTCAGATGTTTGTGGAGTCGGGGGATGTGGGAGGAGTCTAGATGTGAGCGAGTCAGGGTTGTGGGCAGAGTCGGGATGTGGGAGGAGTCTGGATGTGAGCGGGTGCGATGGCGAGTGTATCGGGACTTTAGCGCTGGTTTCGTCACCTTGTCCATGTGGAAGATCAGGTCGAGCTCACACACGTTCTCGAAGCATTTGTCCAGCGTCTCCACGAACACCTGCGGACACAGAGAGAGTGATGCCAGTCACATGATCACCTCATCATCATCATCATCATCACACTGACCAATCAGCACGCGCGTCGCATCAACACCTGGATAAGGTCCAGAATGCCCAGCTCGCTCTCCGACGAGTCCACGCAGAACACGAAGTACAGGGTGGCGTAGTGTCGGTAGATCAGCTTGTTCTCCGAGCCGCCGATTAACCTGCACACACACACGCGCACACACACACACACACACACACATGAGCCGTGACACATGTCACATCCCTGGAGAAACACGTGTGTGTGTGTGTGTGTGTGTGTGTGTGTGTGTGTGTGTGTGAGACTTACAATCCGCCCTCCAGGAAGTTGCACACGTTCTCGTCTCGTTTGGACACCAGATGAAAGGTTTCCCTGATGATCTGCTGTTCTGTGTCTTCAGTCTGCGGGAGCACACACACACACACACACGCACACACACACACGCACACACACGTTACCCTCATGCTTTTATACAAAGCCACTAACCCTGCAGTGAAAGCCAACATGAAATAAACCTGCATATTCTTATTTTTAATAGAATACTACAGTGATGAATGATTAATAATCCGACTGATCGTGTCGGGTCGCTCCATGACATCAGCACTAACACTCGTGTTTATTATGGAATATTGCAGAGTTCATCATCAATGATTTATGAGTGTGCTTCATTAGTGTTAATAATGTTGAATCAGAATCAGTTCCTCTTCAGCATCTCTGATGATGTGGGCGGGGCAACCTGTCACTCACACGAGATCAGCCAATAGCAGACCACAACCATCCAATCAGTTCCCCACAGACACGATCAAGCCCCGCCCACATGTGTTCCTGTTCCAGAAGCGAATCTCTCGATATACGAGGAACTTCACGGTCACGCATGTAAACTGCGTATAGTTAGTTGATGCACTGGAATCAAACCCATGACCTCATGATCTAAGTGAAGCGTGTGTGTGTGTGAGAGAGAGACAGTGTGTGTGTGTGTGACTCATGAACGCCACGCTGGCAGAATCTGCTGTTGGAGAGTCACACACACTCGTTACTGTAATCGCTGAAAATTAGGAACTGATTAATTCTGCTAAATGAACTCCTGTCGCGAGTGTGAAGCGAATCTGAGGCGCATTCCTCCGTCAGCTGATGTGGACATGTTAAACTCACTGAACACACACACACTGACCCGACTCGAGCTGTTACAGTCGCTGACCAGAGCATGAGGAGAGAGAAGATTAATCAGATCTGATAGTTTCAACATTCAGTAACATTAGTGAGTTTAGTGTGTGTGTGTGTGTGTGTGTGTGTGTGTGTGTAGCTGGCAGTGAAACAAACACCAGCAGGTCACAAGAGCTCATGAAAATGATAGTGTAACTCTAGCATGACCTCTGACCCCGATCACATGTCAACAGACAAAGAGCATCTCCTTTAATATTTCATAGGCTATGCTCAATGCGCACACACACACACACACACACACACACACACACACACACAATTATTAGTCTAATCAATTTATGAAATATTCTTCCAACATCTGATTCTAATAATTCACATATATATATATCTGTAATAACAACAACTTGCCGAATAATGTGTGTATCTGTCAGATCAGCTGATCAGTTATTCACACCAACACACATCTTTTCATACACAGTGACGTATAATGCAAAGAAAGACATGCTAACAACTAATATTATAACAATAATAATATGAGATTATTCACTCACGTAATGCTCGTAGAATTTCGACAGTCGTGGTTTGCCATGATTATTAAATATCAGGATGGCTTTGATCATGTTCAGCTCGAGTCCAGCTGCGGCCGGGCGTCGACGGTACAGGCGGAGATCGCAATAATCAATAAGTTTACTAATAATCGGAATCTGACACTCACGCGCACAGCAGAACGGTAGAGCGGAAGCTGTCAGCGCGCGCATCAGAGCGACTTCCGGTCAGTGCGAAGCCTCAGTGAGTGACGTGGCCACACTGTCAAAATAAAAGCCATGAAAATCTGATCCAGTGGTTCGGTTTCAGCTAAACATCTCTTTAAACTAAATATTATTATAATTTACATATAATTTATATAATTGAAATATAGAATACAAAATAGCTGTTCGAACTACGGAATCAGACTTCGGAACTCATTCAGCTGTTCATCAGCATTATGCATGTAAACTGTGTTGCTGTAGTGATCCATCTGTGGTTCAGTGACAATAAAACTGATTTGATTGTGATTTGATTTTTATAATTATTTAATAGAAACATATACATATGAAGAGTTCAGATGCAAAAGCCTCTAAGTGCCATTTGAAATTTTCTTCTAGATAGAATGATCATTTTTATCAAGCTTGTATATTTAAGTTCAGTAATTTCACTTAAATGGCAATGATAATTACCTATCTATTGTTATTTAAGTGAAATTACTGAACTTAAATATAGCCTACAAGTTTGATAAAAATCTTCATTAAAGAAGAAAATTTCAAATGGCATTTAGAGGCTTTTGCATCTGAACTCTTCATATGTACTTAATTATGTGATTTCATTTACGCCTCTTCAAATGAAACATATAGGACAAACTTTAGAAAGTTTGGCATTAACAGTATAATATTTCATCTATCTATCTATCTATCTATCTATCTATCTATCTATCTATCTATCTATCTATCTATCTATCTATCTATCTATCTATCTATCTATCTATCTATCTATCTATCTATCTATTAAAAACTATATATATATGTGTGTGTGTGTGTGTGTGTGTGTGTGTGTGTGTGTGTGTGTGTGTAATAACAAGCACAAGAAAAGAAATAAAATGAAAATGGTCGAACTAAATTCTTTAAATATCAAACAAAAGAAAAGCAGATAAGTGATAAGTCCGTGGGAAAACACTGTTCATTCGCGTCTGCCAGCGGCCGTGCGCTCCTCAGCCAATCACTGAACAGGGGAGACGCAGCGGGAGAGAGAGTGACAGGGAGAAGAGCTCGCGCCAGCAGGACAGAATGGGCAACATTTGGAGGTTACTGAGGTTTGTCCAAAAGTCCCTTAAATTGTCGCTAGTCACTTTATATAAAAAAAATGTCGCTAAAGGGGTCTGAAAAGTCGCTAAAAATAGCGACAAAGGCGCTAAATTGGCAACGTGTGTAACTGTTGGAGTTGCTGACGCCGGTGGGCGTGTCCACGCGCTGACGTCACCGTCACGTGCCTGAGCGGTCAGGAAGTGTCTGTTGTTTCTGGACGCGAAAAGAAAGTAAACGAACGGATCAACGATGAGTTCCATAATCCCGGAGACACAGAGGTAAAGATGCACCTTTATTCGTATTCATGCGAAATTTATACATGAATCGATACGATCGCCATGTTTCAATCAATATCAATTTGTCTGACAGAGTAAATGTGTCTATCTATCAGTGCATCTGTAATGCTTCTTCTCCTCTTCATTTCATCTTCTCATCATCATCTTCATCATCATCATCTTCTTCTTCTTCTCATCTTCTTCCTCCTCTTCTTCTGATCTGCAGCATTAAAGCGGCTGTGATTCACATCAACTCCATCGACAGCAGCAAGTTTTCGAAACTCCTGTCTCGGATTCTGCAGAAGCTCCACCTGAAGGTGTGTGTGTGTGTGTGTGTGTGTGTGTGTGTGTGTGTGTGTGCAGGAGCGCTCCTTCAGTGAGGAAGAGGAGGAGAAGCTGATGGTCGCTGTGTGTGTGTGTGTGTGTGTGCAGGAGCGCTCCTTCAGTGAGGAAGAGGAGGAGAAGCTGATGGTCGCTGTGTGTGTGTGTGTGTGTGTGTGTGTGTGTGTGTGTGTGTGTGTGCAGGAGCGCTCCTTCAGTGAGGAAGAGGAGGAGAAGCTGATGGTCGCTGTGTGTGTGTGTGTGTGTGTGTGTGCAGGAGCGCTCCTTCAGTGAGGAAGAGGAGGAGAAGCTGATGGTCGCTGTGTGTGTGTGTGTGTGTGTGCAGGAGCGCTCCTTCAGTGAGGAAGAGGAGGAGAAGCTGATGGTCGCTCTCTCTCTGGAGAAACACACTCTTCAGCTGCTGCTGGAGGCCGTGTCCTTCATCCTCGAGCAGGTGCTGCACACTCTTCCTCTTCATGCATTATTACACTCATAAAACCTTCCAATCAACAAAATCTACATCTGTTCTTCCTCCGAAAGCATCTCACCTGATATCCGTCACAATAGAGAAGAAAAGGCCAGTTTAAAGGGGTAGTTCCCCCAAAACTGTAATTTAGCCCGTGATTTACTCCTCCTCACGTCATCCTAGAGGTGAATGACGCTCTTCTTTCAGACGAACACAATCTGAATTCATCAGAGTTAAATTAAAACATGTCTTGGCTTTTTCCAAGGTTGGGAGTGAGTGCTGTTTCTGTTACGAAGTCCATGAAAGTGCATCTATGATTGATTTTAAAGCTGATACTGCAAATGAGTGTTTTGACCCTGTTACAGTGTGAAAGACACACACATCTCCAGTGTGTAACGGAGTTGTGTGTGTGTTGTCCAGGCCGTGTATCACAGTGTTAAACCGCTGGCGCTCAGACAGCATCTGGAGAACATCAGCCTGGCGCCGGAGAACGCAGAAGTCTTCAGTCAGGTCTGGGCTTCAGCTGGGCCAGAAGTGCTGGAGAAGATCCGACACGGGATATTTGCCCCGGAGAAGGTCAGTCCTCCTCGGTTCTCCTCGGTTCTTCTCGGTTCTCCTCGGTTCTGCTCAGTCCTCCTCGGTTCTGCTCAGTTCTCCTCGGTTCTCCTCGGTTCTCCTCGGTTCTTCTCGGTTCTCCTCGGTTCTGAGAGTACACACAATGGAAACACACCACATTTCACCACATTTGCATGACGAGGTTTTTTAGGCGATTCGAAAAAGACTCTCACACATGAATTATGTTGAATATCTGTCAGCTGTTCAATTGAACTCCACAATTAGATAATAGCAGTTTAGCTCAAGCAATGCTTCATGTTGTTCAGTGTGTGTGTAAAAAGAGCAGAAAACACACTTCAGCTCAAAGTGGAGGAATCATTGTTACTGTAGTCACTGGATGAAGAAGATTTGGCTGGAATATGGCACAGTTTACTTTATTTTGCTCTCCTCACTTACACAAATCAACTATAGTGTCCTGATCATAACGTGTGTGTTCGCGTGTGTGTTCAGCTGGATCAGGTGTCGTGGCAGCTCAGTCTTCTCATGGCCCGATCGGATCAGAGCCGACTGAAAGAGCCTCACGCCGTCATCAATCTGGGGCTCCGGGCGGAAGACGAGGTAAAGAGTGTGTGTGTGTGTGTGTGTGTGTGTGTGATTGCAGTGTATCTCCTCTGAGCTGCAGTTTGTGTGTGCGTCAGATGGTGGCGCTGTTGCTGTGTATTTAAAACTGAGAAGCAAACACTTCAGAAGTGTGTTTTCAGATGAAGACACACACTGAGCATCTGGTTCGACTGCTGACATCATTTCCTGTCTGTAACGATCGGTGAGAATAGTGTGTTTATGTGCTGTTCATGACCTCTGACCCCTGAAGCCCTTCAGTTCAGCACTGACAGAAATGGTGACATTTGATAATGAAATAGATTTCCAGTGGTGTTTTATCTAAATGAGGGCAAATAATTATATTCTTATTAGATGCATGCGTCATATTTGATGTCAAATTCATACATTTAATCAGCAAATATCAATGTGAACGCTAGAGGCTGTTTACAATCAGATGAAAACATTAATGTTTTTAAAATGAAATACTTTAAATATGAAACCGAAGCTCCAGCAGGGGGCAGCAAGTCAAAGGCTTAATGAGTGAATCACAGAGTTCGAACAGCTGATTCAAGTGAATCATTGACTCGTTCGCACACTGATTCAAGTGAATCATTGACTCGTTCGCACACTGATTCAGTCACTCAGAGAATCAGTGGTTCTGTTGCAGGTTTGTGTGTGTGTGTGTCTCCTCGCGGTGTTCCTCTCCTCCGCTCGGCTCATCCATTATTAAAGCTCGTCTGAGGTTGTTTACCTGTTTATGCGGAGAGAAGTGTGTCTTATATAATCCAGGACTTCTGGGACGTTCAGGCGCTCTATTCTGAGCTTCATAAACATCATAAACCATATCCATACACACCTTCAGTTTCGGCTTCCTCTGTTCGGGTTTGATGCTGCGATCGGGATTTGTTTCGGATAAATCTAACGTTTGACATGGAAGTTTATTGAACCGTTAGACTGAAAGGTTTGCATGTGTGTTTATGTTTTGTATCATTTTCATACACTTTTATGACTCATATAGTCTGATATAGAGAGAATATGGAGGATAAACAGAGCAGAGCAAACACATCCTGCAGATGCTGAGAGGAGTTCACGAGGAAGAGTACACACACACACACTCACACACACACACACACACACACACACACACACACACACACACACACACACACACACACACACACACACACACACACACACACTCACACACACACACACACACACCGGCTCTGAGGATGTGGTTTATTCTAATACAGGAAACACACTCGCCGCATCTTTACTAAACAAATGAGGCGCTTTCCCTTCAACGGCCGCTAGAAACCCACAGGGAAGAGTTTACATGAGCAGTGTGTGTGTGTGTGTGTGTGTGTGTGTGTGTGTGTGAGTGTGTGTGTGTGTGTGTCAGGATCATTCTGATATCCAGATCTGTGTTCGTTCTCGTCAGACAGATCAATCATATTACAGGATGTTTCTCTTTAGGAACACACACACACACACACGTCAGTAACGAATGAATCATCGTTAGTGTGAGCGAGAGAATCACTGATTCAGGATCAGAAACACGGACTGTCAGATGATGATTCAGTGTTCGGGAACATGTGATTAATATTTGTGTGTGAGTGTGAGAGAAAGAGAAAGTGTGTGAGTGTGTGTGTGTAAAAGAGAGAGTGAGTGTGTGTGTGTGAGTCTGTGTGTGTGTGTGTGTGTGTGACACTCGTCATCATGTGATCCGCTTCTTGCTGCGCTTGTGATCAGTTTTAGGAGAAACAGTGTTTGTGCTGATAATAAAAGTGTAAACATGACAGAAGTGTAGGTTTACTGATTTACATTTACTGAAACATCATTTATTTTACAGAAACTAAATATTGTATAAAATAATTCGAGTCGTGAAGTTGCTAGAAAAGCCGTTCGTGTGTTTGTGAAGTCGAGATCAGGAACGTCTGATTTGGTAACGGTGTGTGTTCAAGCTTTCCACTGATTGGCAGTTTGTGATGATTATTGAAGTGTGTGTGAGATGCCATCGTCGGGGAACGTCTGAGTGACAGTTAGATTAGATATTGACGGGTTAATTAATCAATATGTGCGCTTTATGAGTTTGTCTAAATGACGAGCGTGACGTGAGTCGTCAGATGTTGGTCTGCCATGTGTCGACTTCCTTCATGAAGCGATTTACAGCTAAAAATACTGTAGATGCGCAGCTGCTGTACTGAGAGTGTGTGTGTGTGTGTGTGTGTGTGTGTCACAGTAATCATCCCAGAGCTGTGATTCTCCCTTCAGCTTTGAAAACACGCCGGATCCATTAGCTTTAGCCCAGATCCGTCAAACACTCACTGAATCTGAGTCTGAAATCAACCCTTCATTCCTCACACACATTTGCTTTTATCCTATATGTGTATGAACACACACACACACACACACACACACACACACACCATCATCATCATCATCTATGATTATATATTGACTGTAATGAATCAAACGAATCCCCTCTTTCTCCAGTGTGTGTGAGTGTGTGTGAGTGTGTGTGTGTGTGTGAGTGTGTGTGTGTGTGTGTGTGTGTGTGTGTGTGTGTGTGTGTGTGTGTGTGTGTGTGTGTGTGTGTGTGTGTGTGTGTGTGTGTGTGTGTGTGTGTGAGTGTGTGTGTGTGTGTGTGTTCCTGTTCTCCTGCTTTTGTCCAGGATGTCCTACATCTGCATCTCCAGCGGCTCTGCTAAAGATAACGCTCCCCGTTACTCTTAATTATAGATGATAATGTTGAGTCTAATTAATGTCCTCGTCGTTAATGCGGCCTGACGGGTTCCTGCCCGAGAGACTCTCACACACACACACACGCACACACACACACACACACACACACACTCTTCCCTCAGTGTTTTCTACAGTAGAGATGTCTTCATGTTCACAGAGACGAGTCGTGTTCGTTACTCAGTTCAGGCCAATCCATCTTATCAGCCAATAATATTTCTTGAGTGTCTCTTCATCTCATACACCCAGCCAACATGTATATGTGGGCCCCACATGGTTTATGCTTGGGCTACGTGGGTACCAAGTGGGTATGGTCCCAAAATGGGCATCTTTTCTGGGGCCCACTTGGGTCAGCTACGTCGGTCCCACATGGGCAAAAATAGGTGGGCTCCCTATGTGGGTCCTAGTTGGGTCACTAATGGGAAATGAGGGCATGGGCTCAAAATGGGGAACACAAATGGGGCCCATTTGGGTTTATCAAATGGGTGAGACATTGGGAAATACAACCAGTCCCATATAGGCTGCCTGCGTGGGCCCAAGGTAGTACCCACATAGATAATCTCTATATGGGTTATGAATGGGTAAAATATATGGGGTCCACTTTCATAACCCATATGGGTCAGACATGGGCAAACACAATCAGTCCTATATAGGCTGCCTACATGAGCCCAATGTGGCACCCACGTTGGTAATCTCTATATGGGTTTTGAATGGGGCAATACATATGGGGCCCACATGGCCAAACTATATCGGACAGACATGTGCAAACACAATCAATCCCATATAAGCAACCTATATAGGCCCAAGATAGTTCCCTCATAGGTAATCTCTATATGGGTTCTGAATGGGAAAAACATATGGGGCCCACTTTGATAAACCGCATGGGTCAGACATGGGCAAACACAAACAGTCCCATTTAGGCTGCCTACATGGGCCCAAGGTAGGTCCCTCATAGGTAATCTCTATATGGGTTCTGAATGGGAAAAACATATGGGGCCCACTTTGATAAACCGCATGGGTCAGACATGGGCAAACACAAACAGTCCCATATAGGCTGCCTACATGGGCCCAAGGTAGTTCCCTCATAAGTAATCTCTATATGGGTTCTGAATGTGAAAAATATATGGGGCCCATTTTGATAAACCGCATGGGTCAGATATGGGCAAACACAAACAGTCCCATATAGGCTGCCTACATGGGCCCAAGGTAGTTCCCTCATAGGTAATCTCTATATGGGTTCTGAATGTGAAAAATATATGGGGCCCATTTTGATAAACCGCATGGGTCAGATATGGGCAAACACAAGCAGTCCCATATAGGCTGCCTACATGGGCCCAAGGTAGTTCCCTCATAGGTAATCTCTATATGGGTTCTGAATGTGAAAAATATATTGGGCCCATTTTGATAAACCGCATGGGTCAGATATGGGCAAACACAAGCAGTCCCATATAGGCTGCCTACATGGGCCCAAGGTAGTTCCCTCATAAGTAATCTCTATATGGGTTCTGAATGTGAAAAATATATGGGGCCCATTTTGATAAACCGCATGGGTCAGATATGGGCAAACACAAACAGTCCCATATAGGCTGCCTACATGGGCCCAAGGTAGTTCCCTCATAGGTAATCTCTATATGGGTTCTGAATGTGAAAAATATATGGGGCCCATTTTGATAAACCGCATGGGTCAGATATGGGCAAACACAAGCAGTCCCATATAGGCTGCCTACATGGGCCCAAGGTAGTTCCCTCATAGGTAATCTCTATATGGGTTCTGAATGTGAAAAATATATTGGGCCCATTTTGATAAACCGCATGGGTCAGATATGGGCAAACACAAGCAGTCCCATATAGGCTGCCTACATGGGCCCAAGGTAGTTCCCTCATAAGTAATCTCTATATGGGTTCTGAATGTGAAAAATATATGGGGCCCATTTTGATAAACCGCATGGGTCAGATATGGGCAAACACAAACAGTCCCATATAGGCTGCCTACATGGGCCCAAGGTAGTTCCCTCATAGGTAATCTCTATATGGGTTCTGAATGTGAAAAATATATGGGGCCCATTTTGATAAACCGCATGGGTCAGATATGGGCAAACACAAGCAGTCCCATATAGGCTGCCTACATGGGCCCAAGGTAGTTCCCTCATAGGTAATCTCTATATGGGTTCTGAATGTGAAAAATATATGGGGCCCATTTTGATAAACCGCATGGGTCAGATATGGGCAAACACAAACAGTCCCATATAGGCTGCCTACATGGGCCCAAGGTAGTTCCCTCATAGGTAATCTCTATATGGGTTCTGAATGTGAAAAATATATGGGGCCCATTTTGATAAACCGCATGG